TGTATTTTTATAAAGAAAAATGGGAGAAGTTTTGTGATAGTAGCAGTTTATGTTAATGAATTGAATTTAATTATAACATTTGAAGAGATCTAAGAAGCTATTGAATATCTAAAATGGGAGTTTGTTTTGGGAAAATGAAATTCTGTCTTGGTCTACAAATTGAACATCTGGAAAATAGAATTTTGATACATCAATCTGCATATATCCAGAAGGTATTGAAACGATTTGCAATGGAGAAAACACATTCATTAAGTACTCCAGTGGTCGTTAGAACTCTTAATCCTATGAATGATCATTTTAGACCAAAAGAGAAGAGTGGGGAAGCACTTGGTCCCGAAGTATCATATTTAAGTGCTATTAACGCGTTAATGTATTTGACTAATAGTACAAGACCAGATATAAATGTTGCTGTAAATTTATTAGCTAAATTTAGTGCAATGCCAACACAAAGACATTGGAAATGAATAACACATATTTTTCGTTATATCCAAGGAACTATTGATCTCGGCCTATTATATCCAAAGAGATCTCAACATGAATTGATTAGATATGCAGATGCTGGATATTTTTCTGATCCGCATAAAGTCAAATCTCAAACCTGCTATATATTTACTTGTGGTGGCACAGTGATATCCTGGAGATCCACTAAACAAGCATTAACTGCTACATCTTCAAATCATGGAGAAATAATAGCAATTCATAAAGCTAGTCGAGAGTGTATTTGACTGAGATCAATGATTCACCACATTTTACATAATTGTGGTTTGAAATCTGAAAAGATATCCTCATACTATTTTATATGAAGATAATGCAACGTGTATAGCTCAACTGAAAAGAGGATATATCAAGGGAGATAGAACAAAATATATTTCACTAAATTTTTTTTTTTACTCACGATCTCTAGAAAAATGATGAAATAGATGTGCAACAGATTTGATCGGAACAGAATTTACAGACTTGTTGACCAAGATTTTACTAAACACAATGTTCAAGAAATTGGTGAAAAACATCGGGATGCATCGGCTACGAGAATTCAAGTGATGTCCACATCAGGAGGAGTATTTTTAATGCATGAATATCGTGTTTTTTTTTTTTTTTTTCCTTCACTAGGATTTTTGTTCCAATTGATTTTGTTTCTAATAAGATTTTAACGAAGCGTATTCATTGTAATTAAATGACATATAAGGGGGAGAATTATGACATACATATCAATTAATTAGCAATAATTTCTTATGTTTTGATAAATGTTAGAATATTATATTGACATGTATTAAATAATAATGACTTGTAAATGTTGTGAATGACTATAAATACATCGATGGTTATTCAAATAGATATTAATTTTAGCAATAATTTCTTATGTTTTTGTTGATGTAATTTTTCAACAAAAATAAAGTAAAATTCAAATATATAAAAAATATCCTTAAACTTGATTAATTAGTGCCTGAGATTAGGAATCTCTAAACACTGTACGGTACAGAAAATAAACTGGAAAATAAAAGACTGAAATTTAAAGTGGTGATCCCCAAATCTGACTTTGCTTTGTTGAAGTTGATTGAAGATGCCTTTTCAGAATAAATCTGAATCCTTAAATAGCCTTTGAAGAAAACGGTTTGAACCGCCGTCTGGTCGGTTACAGCAACCGCTGTCAACCGACCATCAAATTCTCCTCAATTGACACGTGTTACAACTTCCTTCAACCTCCCCAAACCTCTCACGCCTTAATCCGTCCCAGAAATGCCATTCGCCCGACTTCACTTGGTCCGAACTTCGTATCACGTCCTGACCTCAATGCCCGACCTGCTTCTTTGCCCGACATCATTTGGGCCGACCTCCGCATCAGCCGCCCTCCGTCTTTGACCGACTTTAATTGGTCCGACCATGGACCAACCAAATGTGGTCCCGACCACGGACCAACCGACCGGCTCTATTTGCCCTATCCCTTTGCGTCTGCCCGACTTCGTCTTTCACCCGATCTACGGTTTACCCGATTTGGGTACACCTTTTTTCAGACTCCGCCCGACCTTTTTTCCTTCCCGATCCTTGCATCTGTCCGATTGCACCCGACTTCTGGGTCATTTAACTTACATCCAGACCCGTCCAGAATCCCACTGCCATTATTTATTATTATTATTTTTTGTGCGTAACAGTTTTGATAAATGTTAGAATATTATATTGATATGTATTAAATAATAATGACTCGTAAATGTGGTGAATGACTATAAATAAATATATATTAATTTTTACTTCAAAAACTTTACTCTGCCCCCTCCCTCGCCTCCTATCTCTGTTTCTCTCTCTATATTATATATAATATACATATATACATAATATATATATTTACAAACATATATATCCTTAATACATTGATACGATATACTCTCTTTGTTTCAAACGCCGTGCAATATTTGTGTTTGACACGAGAATTTAGGTGGAAAGTATTAAGTATAGTAATTTGAGATAATTTGGATATTAAGTGATGTGATTGGAGAGATAAATGATTTTTTTTTTTTTATTTGAGTGATGTGATAGGATAAAGTGAAATGTATTTTAATATATGTATATAAATATTATTAATTATTTCTAAATTTGGAAATATTGCAATGAATTTATGACAAACAAAAAATAAAATGTTGCAGGCTGTTTGGGACGGAGGGAGTATTATATAATCAGTTGTTTACTTATTTATCTATAAATTATATTATTTTGTTATATTCTTTTCGTCCGGCTCTAAGGGTCCAATTTACCTTTACTTCATTGTACTTAATATTAAAAATATGTTTATATTTGTATAATTTTTTTTTCACAAATATCATTATTATAAGATACTAATAGAAATATTTTTGTCATTTTTCCTTTATTTGTACTACGTGTACATATAATAACTAATATAAAAATTAATACATAAAAAATAAATGAGACCCTTAAAGTCGGATGGAGATAGTATGTTATAACAATACTTATATCACTACACATGGTCTTATTATTATTATTATTATTATTATTATTAGATTAGTCTCATTTTTGTTAGATATAGAGTTTAAAAAGTATTGAATTATATAAGTAATTAGTATGATTTAATTTATATAATATTTATAATATAGTATTATTTTAATTATTTTTTTCATTTTATAAGTAAATATAACTAAAAAAAATTATTTTAAAAGAGTTTATATTGAATATTTTATGTGTTTAAATTAATTTTTAAAAACTATTGTGCAACAAATTAAATAACAGAAGTAATTAAAATAATTTTAAAGGAAATTAATACTAAAAATAAAGTGCAATCATAAAATTTTAATTTAGAAAATATTTTACGTAAAAAATTTAAATATAGAGTACTTTAATTAACTTTCATTCGTACTAAAAATTTTGTATCCTCCGTCCTAATTCAGTATTTTTTTTTAGTTGTCTCATTTCAAAGCAAAAAATTTATATTTAGAAAAAATAATCATATATTAATACTAAAATATCTTAATTTTTATTAAAATTACAAATATATCATTATATATATAATTATTTTATACATAAAATCAAATGACAAAAATGTAAAAACTTCTTACACACTTCCTCTAACTAATAAAATACTATTCCCTCCTTCCCATACTATTTGTGTCATTCTACTTAACATTAAAAATATCTTTATATTTGCATAATTTTTTATACAAATGTCATTATATTAGTATTATAAATACTAATATAAATATTTTTGTCATTTTTCCTTGATTTATAATACTTTTTGATATAATAATTAATATTTAAACATCAATAAATGAATACTTAGTTACGACACGGACAGAGTATTATTTTTTAATTTACTACAAAACTACAAATGGTCCTTTGATTTGGAACAGAAGGAGTATATAAATTAAACAAGTCATAAAGTCATAAATGACATGGGTGGATATCTAATTTTATTTTGAGAAAAAAAAAAAATTAATTTAAGTCACACTACTTATTAATTTTTCTAAATAAAACATCAAATTAATGGTTTCTATTTTTTTTACACTAACAAATTAATTTAACACTTAAAATATCACATTAAAATCTTTTTATATATACATCAACTAATTATTCAAAATTTAAAATTTTATTGTTAAAAACTCAATTCCACATTTATTTTCTAAAGAATAAATTAAATTCTAATTCTAAAATCACTATTCACTTTTTTTTCCTACCAGATCAAATCAACTCAACATTTATTTTTTTTATTTTTATATTACATTAAATTAATTTAATATTTAATATTATAAACATGTCAACCGTTATTTATATTACATCAATTAATTATTACAATTTAAATTTGTATTATTTATATGGCACATATATAATTAATTTTTTTGGGTAAGAAATAAAATTTGAATCCAAAATCTTTGCTATTCACTTGTCTTTTTAAAATATAAAACTAAATACTTATTTTTTTTTCTATATTAAACTAAAAGTTAATTTAGTATTTAAAATATTACTTCAATAGATATTTATATTATACTCCCACTATCCAAGCAATAAATATATATTTACTTTTGGCATTAAATTTAAGAAATAATAATATTTTAATTATAGTAGCTAAATAAAAATAGTGTAATGATATTTTTGCCTTTAACGATGTAATGTAAAGTAGAAATATTTGTGAAAAAATGTGTTATTTAATAAAATAGTTACTTTTTAATTTAACGTTTTAAAATATAAATATGTATACTTTCTTAAATGGCGAAGAGAATATTAAATAATTATTCAAAATAAAATATTATCATTTAAAATTCTAATTTAACTATCAAACAAATTTGGCACAAGTATTAGAAAAATTATAGTTAAATTTTTAGTTTAAATAATTGACTTTTAATAATTACGAGAATAATAATAATAATAATAATAATAATAATAATAATAATAAATAGAAAGAAATATAGTATTATTATTATAAAGTAAATTGTGATGGTTGAAAGTGTAGAATCTTGGAAATGAAGGAAGAATAGAAGCAGAAAGTAGCCGCAAAGGCAGTGGTGGAGCTAATAAATGAAAAGGAAAGTAAAATGAAAGGAAACAAGATTTTCGGTGCAGATACGGAAACCCGAACAGGTGGCGGGATTTCTGCGCACATACAAACAAACCATCAAACACGTCAACATCTCTCCCATTTTTGCGGCGATCCCTCTCTCTCTCTCTCTCTCTCTCTCTCTCTCCAACGAGCGCGCGCGCGCGCTTCACAATCCTATCTATGGTTTGATCCATCCCCCCTTTACACAAACAATTGTTTGTTTCTTTGCAGTTTTGTATGTATCTAAGTTTATTTGTTTGTTTGTACGCTTCTACTCCAATTCCACCGCATTTGATTCCAGGTTTTGTTCTTTCTTTCTTTCTTTTCTATTTACGTCTTTCACGTTTGATCTTTAGTTGTATCTTGTATGTATCTATGTATATATATATATATATATAGATAGTGTCTTCTCTTTTGAATTATTCAATGTATTGGGCTGTAATGGAACCGAGCTGGTTCCCCGTGAGTGGCTTTTTCCGCCCGCCTTTATTCATGAGATTGAGACATCACATGCAGTGAGAAACGATAATAGCAAAGATGTAGATGCAAGTTGGGGGGATTTTTATGTTTTATGCATTTTGTATTGCTTTATTGCAGGTTGGGCTTGCAGATCGTCGCTGGGGCAACTTCATTCTCTTCTCTTTCGACGTTGATTAGCCGGAGTAGATTTCTTCGGACATACTTATTATTATTATTATGCATTGAGGAGTTAGCCGGTTAGAAAGATCGAGGTCCGTTTGATTGCAATGGAGAAGGAGAAAGAGAAGGAGAAGGAAAAGGAGAAGGAAAAGGAAAAGGAAAAGGAAAAGGAAAAGAAGAAGTTCCCGATCGGAGCAGAGCATTACACTCTGTACGAGGAGGTGGGGACGGGAGTCAGCGCTTCGGTTCATCGTGCACTCTGTATTCCACTCAATGAGGTCATTGCTATCAAGATTCTCGATTTTGAACGCAATAATAGCGATCTGGTTAGTCTACCTTCCCTTTTTACTGATTTCTGGTGATTTCCAGATGTGTATTGTTGTAATTGTTCTGCGAATCATTTTAAAATAGAAATTGCTCGGATTTCGATTCTTCTGTTTTTTTTTTTTTGTTCTTTTACTTGAGGAATTAAGATCATGCTACATGAATACTATTCTAGTTTATGCCAAAATATGAATCCCATCAGCAACAAGGTTCATAAATTGTTGATATGTGGTGCTTCACTTTGAATTATCTTCTTATAATATTTACAAGACCATTGGATCCTATCATCGAAATAAACATTTCTTTAAAATCTTCAAAGTACCTTTAGGTGAGAGTGCTATTTGCACTTCAATTTTCATGAATGATCTTCCTTTTTGTTAGGTCTGATGGTGCATATATCTTTTAGTTTAGTGGTTGGATTGTACTCTATCATGCTTATAGAACTTTGTCAACTAAGTAATCATGTCATTAGTCAACTGCGGTTCAACTTCACCAACAAGTACATTATTATATTCGCAGACTTTGCAGTTGATTCGTCATATATATATATTTAATTATTTAAATTTATTGATGGTTAGATTATTTGATTCCCATATCCTAGAAACTATTTGATTTTTCTAATTCAGTTTCATTTTATATTCAGAGTAATATTTCACGGGAAGCACAAACGATGGTTCTTATTGACCACCCCAATGTTCTTAAGTCACATTGCTCTTTTGTTAGTGACCACAATTTATGGGTTATAATGCCTTACATGGCTGGAGGTTCTTGCCTACACATTTTGAAGGCTGCTCATCCAGATGGTTTTGAGGAGGTTGTGATTGCGACTATTTTACGTGAGGTGTTGAAGGGATTGGACTATCTTCACCAGCATGGCCACATTCATAGGGATGTCAAAGTAAGTGAATATAATTTTAGCACTTTTTATGTGAAACATATTGTAATAGAATTCATTCATGCTAAGTCAAGCTGAAACAGTGTAATTTTATTTCTGCATGTTTGTAGGATATGAATCCTAGTTTTGTCAACATACACAAAATTCAGACTAATAATTATATAACTGGAACATCACTTGTTTTGCAACTAATTTTTACAATGCTTACCTCTCTTATTCATGTACTTAAATACATGAGATACTCTGATGTGAGAATGATCACACAAACTTAAGGTATCTTTTTGCCATTTAATATCTTCCAGGCAGGTAATGTTCTGATTGATTCACGTGGTGGAATCAAGTTGGGAGATTTTGGAGTTTCTGCGTACTTGTTTGATTGTGGCGATAGGCAGCGTATGAGGAATACATTTGTGGGTACTCCTTGCTGGTATGGATTGAATATTGCATATTTATATACATATATTATTTTTAGATCTCTACTCTTCATTATGCTGCAAATTTCTTTGATTCTTTTCAAATCATGAGATATTTAGGTTGCTCAATACATATTCCCACCATATACACAATGTGCATTTGTATAATATCTGAACTTCTGGAAGTTCAGTCATGAGTTTCTCAGAGTTGTCATCGTTCTCATTGTGGTGTTTTATAGTGGGAGTTAGTTTGTGTTTGTAGGATGGCACCGGAGGTTATGGAGCAACTGCATGGTTATGACTTCAAGTAGGTCAATTTGTTTTGCTTATTTTCTTATATTCAAACTGAAAAACTGATAATGCTTTTATTAACTATATTTACTATGGTTACAGAGCAGATATTTGGTCATTTGGAATAACTGCTTTAGAGCTTGCACATGGTCACGCGCCTTTCTCAAAGTATCCTCCAATGAAGGTACATGTTACCACATAGATGTGCATTCTATCCTATATGGAAGCTTCTCCAGTAATTTCTAATCCATGGAAAATGCATTTTTCTTTGATAGGTATTGCTTATGACGTTGCAAAATGCACCTCCTGGACTTGATTATGAGAGCGATAAGAAATTTTCAAAGGTCTGCTTGCTAGAAGCATGTTTTTGATATTGAACAATATTTGATTGAATGGGATCCACTTATATTCTTTCTTTGCTGTGTGTAGTCCTTTAAGCAGATGATTGCTAGCTGTTTGGTGAAAGATCCTGCAAAAAGGCCTTCCTCCAGAAAGTTGCTAAAGCATTCTTTTTTCAAACAAGCTCGATCAAATGATTATATTTCTAGAACCCTTCTGGAAGGGCTGCCAGCTCTTGGTGATCGTCTCAAGGAAATTAAGGTTGGTTGTTTTGAGGAAAATTGATGACATTAGGAATGTTCAGATGTGTATTCTCTTTGTTTCTTTCTATGCTAATATTACCATACTAAATGATGTTTAGAGAAAGGAGGAAGATATGCTTGCCCAAAAGAAGATGCCTGATGGACAGAAAGAGGAATTGTCACAGGTTTGATCTCATATCATCGAAAAAAAAAAATTCAAAGAAGAGACCAATTTGATTACCTCACTTCTGTTATTAGTTTAAAAGGACTCTGGAAGTGAATACCTAGAGTGAAGGGTCCAAGTTGACCTTTTAGATTTGTTACTCAACTTTCTCCTGTTGTCAATGTTTAAAGATCACATTGGTTTCTTCTAAAGTAATGTGAGCATGGAAGATGTTAGCCTTGATTAAGCACTTAAGTAACTACTAGATTGCTCCCAGAGAGTGCAATTGGTCGTTTGAGGATTCTCGTATAATTGCTCGCCATTGAGTTGTTAAAAGTGGCTAATGATATTTGGCTTGTTGAGATTCTTTGGTTTTGGTTCTTCGGGTGCTTAACATCTTTATTTTTTCAGAATGAATATAAACGTGGGATTAGTAGTTGGAACTTCGACCTTGATGATTTGAAGGCTCAAGCATCTATGGTCAGTTTTCAAGATTTTGACTATGGATTGATTCCAATGCTGCAAACAAAGTGACTTGTTGAGCTTACTTCTTATTCTCTTCGCCCTTTCAGATTCAGGATGATGATCCTCCTTCAGAAAAGGATGAAGACATGCAGACCAAACAACTTTCAGGCCAGGCATCTTTGTCCAAAAGTAGAGTACTTCAACACCAATGTTCTTTTAAAAGTCACTCTTCTGATGCTTCTGTAAGTTACTGATTGCTCTTTGGAAGGCAGACATCTGTTTTCTTTTAGATATCAGTCTGTTTCTGACACTAATTATTCACAGGATGATTGTGCTCCAGCATATGCCTCTTCACTAGATTGCGTCACTAACATGTATGGTGTCATAATTTCAGTAAGCCTATATTCTCGTTTTTAAATCCCACATTACTGTTTAGGTTATGCTACATACTCTATCTGACAAAACATACCTGTTTTGCGTAAGTATTTATTATCGTTTCATGTTTATAGCATAGTATAGCATATTTACCTTTTCTTTCTACTCTACGGCAACTCAAATCTGACTACATGTTTCTAATATTTTTATGAAAATTTCTGTCATCATGTTGTTGATCTTATATCAGCTAAATATTTAGTTTTTTGTTAAGCTAATTTCCCCTTAAGAGTTAAGTCTAAAAATATCTGATGATGATCCAAGTGTTCCTGGATCAACTGTGGATCGGCCAAGGACAAATATATCAGTTGGTGATGAGAACCAGGCAGAAAGTAGTTTAGCAAAAAAACCTGTGTCAGAAGTGAGCAAAATATCTTTAGAAGGAGTTCCCACCACTTTGAATCATAGGTAAGACGTGTTCCTATCTTACCAGGATTTTCTTGATTTATTATCAATTTAAATGATTACGTTATGTAACTGTCCTATAATTTGACATATCGGATTAAAGTTAAAGGTATTACATCCACAAGAATAATCTATTCACTTTGTTACTTATGTACATTACATTAAACCTCAAACCCTTGAGCTCAGGTTTGAGTTAGTTTGATCAGTCGTGCTGAATTAGATATCCCACTCTCAATTCACAATCTTTTCTTTGAGACAAAATATCATTTGAAGATTAGTGAAAGTGAGGAAAGTCATATCCTTAATAAAAGAATTGGTCAATTAGTAAGAGAATATAAATTTCTTCATTGTTTGCTTGATCGTTCTACATGATTTTCAAATGTTTACTCCCAAAAGATTTTTAAGATCCTCCCATTATTTTTGTTTTGTTTTCAAAATCTTTTTTAAATAGATGACATATGAGATTGTAATAATGGAAAATTTAGAAAAAGTTATCCGTGTTAAATAAGTGTATATTTCTTTTTGGAAACTCGTCGTTACAATTTCAAAGTTAAGTATGTTTATTTAGGAAAGTTTTAGGATGGATGCCTCATTGGGAAATTTCGAGGGTTTACAACGCATTGAAATCAGTTAGTAATTTATTTGATTTTTTTTTTATTTTTATCGGATTCTTTTAGGTTTTTTTTTTTTTTTTTTTTTTTTTTTTTTTTTTTTTATCGGATTCTTTGATTTTCTTTTGTTCTTCCTTGTGTTATGTTGAGGATGAGGGAAATGAATTTTCCTAAGTTCATTAGAATTTTTATATTTGAAACCTGTTGGAAGGGTTAATGCAAAAGAATCATAGACAAACGATTTAATCTTGAGACACCCTGGAAATACTGTGATGTGCTAGAAATGTTGGAAGTAAGCCCTTCCAATATCATTTTGAGCAGGAGCTAATGCGGCTCCTATTGATGTCATAATTATGCCTATCAAGGAGATTAAATCTATTATAAGAAGGAATCAAGAAGAATTTGCTGACACTAGGTTTCTGGTTTCCTTTAGCATTCAAACAAATTCTGAACAGTTTACCTCAAAGTGTCGACATGGTATTTAACTTTGCATTTGGATCAGGAATTTCTTGCTTGCTTGATCTGTGTTGGTATTCTAGTGCAACTGCCAAAGCCATTTGCTGCTGAAGGTTTACACCTGATGTGGTTAATGGTCTATGTGCATTTTGAGCTTTAGGTGCAGAAAAATTGGCTGACAAGGACACATGAGCCTAAAATACATGGGGAGTGTTTACCATGTTGGGTGTAAGCCTTTACCCGCAGAGGGCTGCCACTTGGCTGTCAAGCTCTGCACAAGTTAACTTTACCATTCACTACCCGTTGTTGATTTACCACTTTCTGAAAATTATCTGTATATATATATACACACCATATCTCCTCCTGCTGTGTTTGTAATCAATTTTGCCTTTTATTAGCGAAAAAGGGCAAAATCATTCACGTAATCGGTCACATGATGGGCCTATCAATCTCCAGATGTCAGATCATACACTATTTGAGTCGATACCTAAGCTTTCAAAAACATCAGGCAAGTCAGCTAGCAATACTTGATTCCTACTTTAAACAGATCCAATGTTGCATACTGTGATGCCTTTCCTCTGTGATGCAGCTAATGGTGATGAAGTTGATGATAAAGCAAAGAATCCAATTATTCAGCAAAAAGGACGATTCAAAGTTACATCAGGAAATTTTGAGATAGAAAAGGTTACTATTCTGGTCTTGGCATGACTAATCTTATGTGCAATTACTCAAAATTAATTGTTCTCTTGTAGATGGTTTCACTTACAACTCCAATTATACATAAAAGCCACAGCATGCAGGTATGTTTTGTTACATTTTTCTCTGAAATTAACCAGAAGTAGGCATGATTTGGTGAAAACAGTGCACTAATGATATTCTGTTACACATACGGTTTGTTTTAGCACTTGCACCATCATGTTAATTTAATACTTGGTAAATATTTCTCCAAAACTCACAAGAATGTCGGGTTTGACTACACTTGTTGTTTGTTGTTTTGTTTATGGCTGCTTCCTGCTACTATATGTAACTTATCTGATATATCGACGACTTTTTGCCTTTTCAGTCTGTTGTGTTATCTGTGTGAGGTTTAAGACCTATCTTCCCAGAAGATGAAAGGCAATCCTTATTAGATATTATCTGAACACAACACAAGATAGAGCAATCATAAGTTTGTTGTTTCAAAACTGCATTCATTGAACAATTATAGCCAAATTGTGCTATTGAATTAATAATTTTCGAAATTTAGGTTATTACTTCTGCTCCAATTACTTCGCCAGGGCCTTGTGATGCTAGTCCATCAAATCTTAGTGGGACTGCGCTTCTTCCCACTTTACAGTCCATCTTACATGCGAACATTCAGCAAAGGGTGACGGAAGAAACTCTACTTTATATATATATATATATATTGTGAAATTTAGAGTTAGCCTCTAATTTATAGTTTCTTCTACAATTCCAATAAACAGGATTCTATTCTTAATCTGATGAAGCAGCTAGCCACAGGTGACCTGTCAGGTATTTTAAGAAATACTGATGTAGCAATTAGTATACTCGTCGTATACAATTTTTCATCTTCAAATACAAATTCTCATATAATATTATATTATCCACCACATCTGCAGCCACAGTATGTACATCAATGGGCACAGCAATTTCAGACAAGTCCACGGTATGTATTTTGTTTAAGGTCATTCAGCAACCAAGCATATGACATCACTTCAATACCAACAAAATCTAACAGTTCTTTTTACCCACCCGAAGAAGATATTATGTCCAATCTTCATCGTTGCACGTTTATCCAAAGGGCTCAATTAATACGCTACATTACATGAACTATATATATATATATGTGTGTGTGTGTGTGTGTGTATGTAAGATTATCATTTTGATGGTCTGAACAGAACATTTTTCATTTTTGCAGTTAGAAGTAGCACACGACAAGGAAAAGGAACTACTTCGTGAAATAACTGATTTGCAGTGGAGGTATAATACATCTACATATATGTTTCCATGCATCATAATAGTGTTATCGATCAGACCCATTGTTTTGTGCTCTAACATACTGCACTGTAATGTTTATAGGCTTGCGTGTGCGCAGGAAGAGCTTCAAAAGTATAAGGCAGAGAATGCTCGGTCGCACTGATCATAATGTAATTCCTAGCTGTGCTGTGTTGACGATGTGGATCGAGTAACATGTCCAAACAGTTGGAGGGTAATGATTTTTTTGTACAGAAATGCAAGAAAGAGAGACTCTAGTCTAAATAGGGGGTGAAGTAACTATACAACTCTAGTCAGTACAGATTATATATGTATAGCTAGCTAGCTAGCTCTGTTAAACCATTCCAAATACGTACTAACTCTAGGTTTTAACTACACGTGCTACTTTACAATAGTAAGTATATTATCTACCATTGGAGATTGTAACATTTATTTGGATATTAATAAAGGGTAGATTGCATTAATTGTAGGTTTACTAAACAATCATTTGTAGTATGGAATTGATGAATGAACTAGCTAGGTGGGATGTAGAGCTGCAAAACAAACGAAACAGTTCGCAAACTTGGCTCAATTCGGTTCGTTTGAGCTCGCTAAGAGCTTGTTCGCTAATTTAAACGAGTCGAATGCAAACACAAATTTTGGCTCGTTTTGTTCACAAACGAGCTCGAACTTGTTCGCGAACGTTCGACAGTATATATTAGAAAAATTAAATTAATAGTTATATATATCTTTTTATATATATATATTGTATTTCATTCTATTTTCTATATAAACGTATTAATAAAAGTTATAATTATTATTAACTGAATTTAATTTTTTTAAAAAAATTAAATAAATAAAATAAAATTTCGAATCGAGCTGAATACTAACAAAAAAATTACTAAATGAACCGAGCTCGAACAAAAATTTGAGCTCGTGTTTCTTAACGAACGAACACGAGCCGAGCTCGAGTCTTTAATGAGCCGAGCTCAAACATGACAAGCTCGGCTCTGTTCGGCTCGCTTACAAGATGAAAATGAAATGGATATGGCAATCTGAAATCCGACTCAAATATTCTTTGAATATCTAATACTAGAATTAAACTTGCATTAATTTTTTAAAACCGAAGATGAAATCTCTCAAGTCTCACCATAAAAATAGACTGGCGAACATGAAATATCATTTTGAAAACTCCGTTTGCTAGAGAATTTTCTGTCTCTCTCGTATACTTTGTGGATTTTACTGTAAAAAAGACTTTGACAAACATGAAATATGTCTTTGGAAGCTCTGCTAGATAATTTGCTCACAAATTTTTGATCCATAATAGTATATGATATGTCTTTGTCCTTCGTAAATAATTCTCAAGAATTTTTGCAAAGGAATTAATCCCTCACAAATGATTGTGATGCCACTACATTTCATCATTTGCGAGGGATTGCAAATATTTTGTGATGGAAAATATCCTAAAATTTCATAAAAATTTGCAATTCTTCCTCCTCTAAAAAAACTATATATTTTTATTTTTTATCATATAATTTCAAACTTTCAAAACATATCACACACTATATATTATAAATCTACACTTTCATTTCATTCACCAGAACAAATATCGTAATCTAAAGAAAATATTGCATGTATAACGAAATCAACTTCTATTCAAAACCAAAACGTATACATCATACAACTACATCAAATCAATATAACAAACAAAATATAAATATAAGTAGTTAGAAACATACATCAGACGATCGGAAGAGTCTGTGCATCACTGTCGGGATTACGGCGGTCCAACCGAGCCTAGATCCAATTAATCTACTCCATTTTTGTTTTTTTATCTTATCAATGATTATGTGTTGATACTGCTTCATGCTAATTACTCGTTCATCAAAATCTCTTTACATAACCTAAATGCCTAAATAGTAGATATATATATATATATATATGGAGTATTTTAATTTTAAGAACTAAATATCTAATGAATAATATATATATATATGTATTATCTTATTGCATATATATTTCTTCTTAGAAAATAAACATATAATCAACTATTTTAGCGGAACCGAAATTTAAACAAACCTCCGGCCATTGCTAAAAATTAAATTTGTTCTTTGAGATTTTTTTTTTTTTCCAAGAACAGTAGATTGGAACCGTGGGAAGATGGTGTTGTCAGATTTTGGAACCTTTGGGAGGATGTTGCCAAACTTTGGAAACCTCCGAAGATAGTACCAGATCGTGGAACCCTAGGACGATGTTTCCAAACTCTAGTTCTCAAATAGCGATGGTGTATTCTAATTTTCCTGAGAGTAGGTTTAGTAACCAGTATACGAGAGTATTTATAATAAAAAAGAGAAACATAGTGGGCGACAATTTTAAATTAGTTTAATTACATAAGATAATTAAAAAATAATCAAAATTTCAGATATGATTAATTAAGTAATTAAACTAATATTTCTTTCTCAATTTCAAGCATTTTATGTCTATAAATAAATGCTCCTCCTAATATCGTAGTATTAATTCCACAGCCTTACAGAAATCCTCATATTTTGCCTTCCCTTCCCATAACTAATTTCTAATTCATTCATTTATCTATTCATATAATTTTTTTAGGTTAATATATTTTATGATTTTAAATAGAGATGAGTATGATGGTTTTTATGCAAATATATTGCTACACTATAATTATACTTTTTAATTAGCTCATATGTTTGTATTAATAATACATTTGAGTTGTACCTTATGTGTTGAAGTTCAAATACTCTATTTCCAAATCTCTCTATCCCCTGTTTCAACAAGTAAAATTGTAACACATGCATTCCTCTGCATTGGATTACTTCGGAATTTTTGCATTGTAATTATTAGTTTATGTTGGGTTGGATTGTAATTATTTATTCGGTTAGTAGACGCGTGGCTACAATTGAGGTAGTACCTCATTTTTTATTAGTTTTTTAATACCCGGGGATGCCCAGCGTATATGTATATATCTCTATATTTTATAGATATAAAATCCTTGATTTCCGATAAAAAAAAAAAAAATAAAATTGTGACACATGCAAGATAGAGAAAAAAACAAAAAAGAAAAAAAAAGAAAAAGAAAAAGAAAAAGAATATGAGTAAGATTTAAAATGTATGTATTTTAAAATTATATTTGTGTTATTTATCAATTTTATTTATTTGAAAATGAAAAATATAAATTATATCTAAAATAAATTTTTTATTTTATTATTATATTAATTTATCATAGAATATATATATTTTTAAAATATTATACTCAAATAATGTTTAAATATAACTTTATACTATTCAAAATTTTATTCTTTTATATTTAAATTAACCTTTTTAATATCTTACTATATTTTTTTGTAAAATATATAATTTTATAAAAATTATAAAATAATGCAAAAAAAATTAAATGCATAAATAAAAATTAAATTTAAATATTTTTTATTACTTCAAAAATTAAAATAAGTAAATCTAAAAAACAAACCCTGAAATACTATTCTAATTATTTAAACTTAATATATTTTTGAAAAATTTATAAAGCAACATAATAAAAATTTAAAAATATTAATATGAATAAAATTAAATTTGAATAGAATTTTTATTTTTTATATTATTATTTACAAAATATCATATTACATATATATTTAAAAAAATAGATTTAAATATTACATTACAAACATAATTTAAATAGTAACTTGTATAATATTATATCCGTAAAGAAATAGTATTTAAATGTAATATTTGAAAAAATAAATAAATTATATTTTTACCATTAAATAATATAATAATAAAAATAAAATTAATTTGAATGAAAAAAGATATAAATTATATATTTATGATTAAATAATATAATAATACGAATAAAAATTAATTTGAATATAATTAATTTCGAGGGAAGAAAATTAATAAGTAATAGAAATATAATTATTTAAAATATGTAAATTTAAAACTATATATCCACTTTCTCTTTATTTTTCTCTCTCATCCCTCGGAGCGTTGTAATTTTATTTGTTAGAATAGAGAGAATATGAAGGATTTGAATACTAAAAAAATTGAATTTGAATAATTGTACGATACAATAAAACTAGATGTTGATGTGTGATATTTTAAATATTAAATTGATTTTTAACATATATAATATAAAAAATAAAATAATATTTAATTTGATATATTTTAAAAAAATACTTTTAGTAAATACTAAAATTCTGCCAAACCTCTTAAAAATCAAATTTTAAATAAATCTAGTTATGGCGAGCTAACTTTTTTTTTTTTTTTTAATCAAATATTGGAGTGCTTAGGCTCAATGTAAGAATATAAAGATTAGCAATATGCATATTTAGGCTATTTTTATTGTGCATAATGAATCATTATTATAATAAACTAATGCTAATTATAACTTTTACTAACATGATCCAAGTAAAGACCGTTCGCCCCTCTTTGGAATGGTTTTTGCCAAGGATTTTTGGCTTTTACATTTAAAAAAGTACTTTATATTTAATTGTATTGATTTTTCTCAAAAAATAGAAGAAATTTTTAAACCCAAGAGGGTTTTTTTTAATAAGCACATTGAGCAGGGTAACTTCAAAATATATATATATAAAAATATAAATACTTTTAAATTAAAATCACTGTTTTTTTAAAATTAAATTAAATTAAATTAAAATAAATTAATGGTTACGCTCAAAGAGCTGTCTACGTACCAAAACGGGATCAAGTCATACGTAGTTCTAAATCCATACAAGACTAGGAATATAAAAACAAAATAAATGAAATAAATGAAGTACTAAAAGAAACTAGCAAAAACAAAAACACGGGAGCCCATCCGCATTGAGCAGCCAAGCCAAATGTCCGCGCGCTAGGTAAGGAGCACGCCATGTTTGCCAAGGCATCCGCCACACGATTGCCCTCACGATATATGTGAGAGATCCTCTACTCGATGGTGTGTAGCTGTAGGCGCAGGTGGTGAAGACATGGCTGCAGAGTCCAATGTCCCGTCGAGGAGAAGATCAAAGTGATACTGCTGGTAGATTCTGTCTTGATCCATAAAAGGAGAATGCCGTGCGCCGCCAAATCCACGCTAGACCGAATCATCTGTAGCTCCGCCAAAGTGTTTGTCGCATATGGGAGCGGAACTTGAAAGGCCGCGAGGGCGGCTCCGGTGGCATCCCGAATGATGCCCGCCGCCCCTGCTACACCGGGATTTCCTAGCGACGCTCCATCTGTGTTCACCTTGAACCATCATGGTGTTGGAGCTTCCTACTGCACAAGGCGAGGACGAGATGCGAGATGTAAGTCCCCAGGCAAATGCCACCGCTGAAGACCGCCGGCACACCACAGGATCTTCAAATGAAAGTGAATACGCCAAATAATATGGTCAGAGGAAATGCGGATACCTCGATGTTTGGCGTCGCTTCGCGCTGTCCAGAGGAACCAAAAAAATCAGCAGCGGGTTGTAAACTCGAATACCCTGCGCGTG